GAATGCTTCTTGTCCACGACAAATACAGTCGCAGCGCACTTCAAAGTGCCAGATATATGTAAGTTTCCGCACCAAAATTGTTAACCCTTGAGCCAAAAAAGCTAGGAAGCCGAAATTGTAGGAGAATGCCCTGCCTGCGTACGAAATTCGCAAAGCCAAGTTCTGCCTCCGCGAATGCTTAAGCCCCAAGCAGAAACACATGAAAATTCTGGCGCTAAAATTGGTAACTCGAAAATCACAAAAACAAGGAATTTGAATTTTTGGGATAATGCCTTTTGACCGCGTGTGACCTGTGAGTTTGAATCCAGCTCTTACTTACATATGGCGGGAGTAAACCAGAAAAGCGAGGGAGGTGAAATTTCAGAAAAATGCTTCTTGTCCCGTAAAAATTGTGCCCTGCGTCCGCTTAGGTCTCAGTTTTCAGCTTCCTAGCCTTTGTGGTTAAGAATTTTTAATTTTGGCGCAGGGAGTTTCAACGCCGAAATTAATAACCCTGGAACCACACAAGCTGTGAATCTGAAATTTTGGAAAAATGTGCCTGCCCGCTTTATAAGTTGAGTCGCTACACACGCCCAGGTCGTATTTACGAAGATAAAATTAAAAACTCAGGACTACAGGAGCTTTTAGACATACCGAACAAAAAGGCAGTGAAAACTTCTTACAGCAAGTCCCCACAGGGCACAGTGTAGAGGCGCCCACTGAACAAGGTTGCATAAGCGCTCGCTGGATGGCGCTGCACAAACGTTCGCTGGGCAGAGTTGACGAAGCACATGACCGCACCAGCTACTGTGGGCGGAGAGATTTGATATGACTCCAGGAAGCAATGGTGCTATCAGTTTTGCATGCACCTGCTTACTTTTATGCGTTTTTGTTGTGCAACTCTACAAGCTGCTGGCGTTGACAGTGAATGGTGGTTGCTAGCATTTTAATATGCGCACTCATTTTGTCAGCATTTTCGCCTTTTCCTGTATGCATTGGAAAAAAGCGTCGGGTAAGACGGCAGCATTGCTTCGTGGAGTCATATCAAATCTTAACTTTGAGCATGCACAATTTGCACAAATTTTGCATGGAGTGGAAGTGAGCGAATCGGATCGCTCACTTCTAATCCATGCAAAGTTACGGATCGCTTACGGAAATGCAAATCATTGAGTGAGCAGAATGTGGAGGAAGAAGAAGACGAAATCCCATAAAGCTTTCGCATGCCATTCCTAACAGTCAAGCGTACTTAAGAAGTGAATTTGATTTCCTTAGATCAAAGAGTACAGGGAACATCTCCTTAAAGTTTTAACTTTCTAGCTCTTTCAGTTCTCGAATTAACAATTTTTCCACTAAAAATTTCACGTATCTATAGGTGAGGTTCAGGTGTGTGTAAAAGTTGATAACCATGTTACTGGGTTAGCACTTCTCCAGGTAACCCACTGGGAAAATTTCAGCATCAAAACTTTTCTGGTTACCGAGTTGAGCCACCCGGATAGTTGCACACACAGGGACGTAAACGTACACACGATATCGGGGTTGTCGCAATATGCGTTTTGGCATTTGCACAGATGCTCAAAAACGCACAAAATTGTCATCTGAATCAATGGGCATTGGGAGAATGGTAATAAAACAGAAACTGGTCAAAGCATAAAGTATGCGTTTTTTTTTTTCTTTTCAGAATTATTTCATCTATAGTGCAGCCGAATACGTATCAGTGTAGAATTTGCCGCGAAGGATGAAACTGCCAATCAGAAGCCACAATTAATGGAATTCAAAGCGGAACTGGAAAAAATGTATTTTTTTACAGCACTTTGGCTAAATGTTTGGTCGAAGGACACCAAATACAAAGTACTTTCACCATTTGTGGTTATGAATCCTTTCAAAGCTCCCTTCAAAAACGTAGTAATTAATGTCACAGCTTTTTTTTCTAGGAAACAGGTTCGCTGAAAAAATTTTATTCAAAGGTCATAATCATTTCTTAGTAATTTTGCATAGTGAAAACATTTTCACTTATTAACCGGCTGGGCGATGCCGTTATATAAGTTTCTACGCTAAGCTAGTGCATGTTTACGGTAGGCAGCCTGTCCCAAAAATTTCAATTTTTAGTCTTCATAGTAACAAACTGAAATTGAAAGCTGGACGGATGCATACACCCACAAGCACAG